TTATTATTATTATTATTATTATTATTATTATTATTATTATTATTATTATTATTATTATTATTATTATTATTATTATTATTATTATTATTATTATTATTATTATTATTATTATTATTATTATTATTATTATTATTATTATTATTATTATTATTATTATTATTATTATTATTATTATTATTATTATTATTATTATTATTGGTGTCTTTATAAGATTAAAATTTTCAGCCTGCACCTGAAACCAAAATTAAGGATGGGAAAAGAAATAATTAAAGCTTCAAGAGCATTATGCATGTTTGGCTAAACTTATAAACTTACTTAAAAGTTTAAAATAAATAATTTTATTGATCAAAATAATAATAAACAATGTCGACCAGACATTAATCCAACACGAACAAAAATAAGAACTCCCTTCACCTACCTCAAAGAACAGAAGATTTAAAAAAATAAAAAATATGATTAACATGGTTCTTCCCTCTACTTCTAATTAAATATGAACAATTGACATTACAAATTCATAGAAAATTCCCATTCAAGTATACCGGTTGAGAACTTTCTTGATCCAAGCAGTGGCATTTTTCCTCTAGCCACAACTCACTATTCACTAATTCTTCCCCGTCAAGCCTACTCAAATCTTTTCCCGAACTTCATAATCGTCATGAACGGTCAGATAGCCCAAATTCAGGTTCCGAACAAGGTTATCAAAAGTAACACTATTACAATGTCAAATAATTAAAAAATATTACTCTTTGAAGACTTTGAGTCTCCAGCATGCAATAGTCCACGTGGCAATTTCTAATCCACAATTGCACAAAACTCTTGAAAGCATATGTCCAGACTTTTTAGAGATTTGTACCACGTTCAACAATTTCTACAAGAACCCAATTTTTTCCTCGCTTACACTCTTCCTATCCTTCTGGGTTTTGTGTGTGTGAAAGAGGACCGAAATTTTATTAATAACTTTATTGCTGACTTGGGAGTATTTTATTATTTTTTATTTTTTTCCCCCTTGAATAGAATCATTGTGTTAAGTTCACCTCTCATGGATTTTGGGGTTAAAAGGTATGTGTGTCTCCCTTTATTGAATTATTTAATGGGATTTATCTCTTGTTTGAAGAATTGTGTTTATATATTTAGTTTTAGTTTTCCACTTTCTCCTATATGATTTGATGAAGTTGGAGAAATTTTTATATATACGCTTAATCACTTTATCATGTATCTGAAACTTGTGAATACATCTTGCTGTTTGAAGTCATAGAAATGGTCTAGCTGGCTAGGCAAAACAATAGAATAATTTGAGTATTTTGTGCATGTTCTTGGAAGACATTCGAGATAATAGGATTTATAGGTTGTATATTAAGCTCATAGGGTCGTGTCATGAAATTTTGGGAGGGGTTTTGAAGATACAGTAAGGTGTAATTCAAAGGTTTGCAGAAATTAAATTCGGCTCTATGCTAGGAAGATATTTATGATTGTAGGAGATTTATGGAGAAGGAGATGATTTTTATATGATGGGTACTGGAAATAGAGATATTTCTATTGGATGGATAAAGATTATTAAGGATATGTATTGTAAGATGTAGTGGCAATACTAGTAGCAAATTTCCTGGTACTATTTGCCTGCTTTTACTTCCTTATTGCTTTATGTGAGATGAGATTGTTATACATACAAAATAACGCCCCACGGTGTTTGTTATGTGGTGACAACATAGTTCTCGTGATAAGAGTATGGAAGGGGGTGAATAGTCCTCGTAATGAGAGTATGGAAGGGGGTGATTTTTGAAATAGTACTTTGGAAGTTAAAAGTTTTAAATTTAGTGATCTATTGCGTTGTACGGACACTTCAACTAGGTGATGTGTTCGTGCATAACGCATGTTGGATACTCACACTACTTAAACACTCTACTATGATAATTTTTCTTTCTATTATATCCAGCTCATCAAATGTTCCCAAATGTCCTTTCTTTATTAAAAACATATAGCCTCATATAAAGAATAATAATTCATCCTTTTCATTTGGCTTTAAATCTCTTGAAAGCTTGGATTTGAATTGACAACTTCAGTTGCCCTAGTTGTTATTAAATAATAATAGCATATATTTTTAAAAGATTCGGCCTTTGAAAACTCCAGAATTTGAAATATTATATATTTTTAATTCAAAATTATTATTAAATAATAAATAAATACTCATATTTAAAAGATTTTAGCAAGAAAAATTAATAAAAGGTACAAAATTAATTTATACCATATAAATTTTATTTTATTTATTTAATTTTTTTTTTCTTTGAAAATTAAATCAGTGTGTCGTGTTGATGCATCATAGGTGATCTAAGATGAAGTACATGGAATGTCCTTTTAATTGGAAGAAATGGATAGGTGCTACGTCTAGGGGTGTCAATGCGAGCCGGCTCGGGCTCGCCATGAGCCGAGTTCGTGCTCATTTTGAAACGAGCCGAGCTCTGCTCGTCCAAAAATGGGCAGGCCGAGCCCGGCTCGCTAGCACATGTTTTTTTTTTGTGTGGAAACAAATAGGTAAATTGGAAAATACAAAAGTAATTTTAATTTTTAAATTGTGAATTTTTTATAGAAAAAATTTATATATATAAAAAACTAGGTAAAAAATTTAAACTCTCCTCTTTTATCCGGGCTTGGGACCGGTTACTTAAATTTAGAGTAGGAGGAGTTAAAAATTGTGTTGTTTGTTTGTTTGTTCGTGTACAATTTTTTAAAGAAAATTTAAAATAGTATTAAAAATTATTTTTTCAAGCAACACTGCGCGTCCGCTTGCATATAATCTTTGAAATAAATCCCTTCTAAAAATTGAAAGGGTAATCGAATGCCCTTTCAATTGTCAGAAGTCTTCACTTCAAAAATTATATAGAAGTCTTTCACTTCAAAAGTTATATATAATCTTCGAAGTGAAAAACTTCTGACAATTGAAAGGGCAATTATTCGATTACCCTTTTAATTTTCAGAAAGAATTTACTTCGAAAATTATATGCAAAGGTACGCACAGCGTTGTTCGAGAAAAGAATTTAAAATGTAGACATATAGTATTAATAGTACTAAGTACTAACAAAAATTTAACTTAATTGGTGGAAAGAATTTTTTTTTTTTTTTTTTAACTAAAAGAGATAAAAAAAATAAAAATGAAATCTTTATTTTTTTTATTTTTCTTTTTAAAATAGATAAAATATAAACCCTCCTCTTTTATCCGGGTTTGGGACCGGTTACTTAAATTTTCAGTAGGTTGAGTTAAAAATTGTACACGAACAATTTATTGTAGCGTGTACAATTTTTTAAAGAAAATTAAAAGTAACGATAAGAAAAGAAAAGTTTCATTAATATAATTAAATCAAATATCGCTTACTTGACGACATATAATTTCGACATATTTATCTTGTAGTTAAAAATGAGCGTCTTGCCAATCCTTAACGCACATTAACGCTTCTAAAATATCTTTTTTCAGTCAGCTCCTAACTTTGCTCAAAACTCTTTTACCTGCACTAAATGCAAACTTCGAAGCAACAGTGCTAATTGGAGGTGTCAGCAGATCTTTTGCAATCGCAAATATAATTGGCCTACGTTGTTCATACCTTGGCCAGAATTCAATTACTTCGTCTGAACTTTTTTAATTGTTTTATTTGTTGGCATATTCTGGTTGAAATAATCAATTAATTTAGCAGGCAATGAATTATGGCTTGAGCCCGAAGATGTTTGATGAGAATGAGATACAGATGGTGACGACATGGCAGTGGCAGTAGATGAACACATTGTAGATAAACCATATCTATACGAATTAATGTCTTGAAATAAATTGAATATTTTCGCATCTTTTTCAATATCAACGGAAGGAACAGATGCAAATGGTACCTGACTAATATTGGTACCCATTCGGTTCGCATATAATTCATACATTTCACATAATGTTTGCTCTAAATTTCTATATGTGATAGGTGTATCAAATGTTAAGAAGTTTGAAATTTGATCAATTATATATTTAGTTCCCGATAAATTATATTGGGGGTCCATCACGCATGCTAAAGAAAATAACATACGCAAGTCTTCCCAATATTTTCTAAATTTTAATTCCATAGCAATTATAATTTCACTAAAATCAGGGTCATTTTTGTATTTATTAAATGTTCTTACAATTATATAAAGACGTTCAAGCACCATATAGCTGGTGAGATAGTAAACGCTTGATAAAATTTTAGTGATTTCATAAAAAGATGCCAAAAATATTTTAATTTTTAAAGCTATTTGCCAATCATGTTCAGTCAACATACCCTCGTCATCACTTCTAACATGTCTATTGTTATAAAAGTCAGTTATTAAATGTTCAAAACCTTCACATGACTTTAATAACAAGTAGAGTTCCACTTATGACCTACGTCGCTACCAAATGTTTTAGCATTTTGCACTCCTATTTCGGCACAATAATCCTCAAATGCTTGTTTTCTACTTGGGGAGATTGTGATATATATTAGTTCATTTCTAATATTTTAAAGTTCATCCTTTATATGTTTTAAATCATTTTGGACAATTAAATTTAAAATATGACATACACAACGAATATGAAACAAATACCCACCAAAATTAGGTTGCAGTACCCTATGCAATTTATCGGCAACTACTTTATTAACATTAGCATTATCGAAAGTAAATGAACGAATTTTGCTTACGCAATGATATTTTCTAACAATACTAATAATAGCATTAAATATATTATTAGCATTATGAGAAAACTTAATAATTCTAAAAGCAATAATTTTTTTATGCATGCACCAAAGTGGATCTATATAATGTTCAGTTGCAGTTATATATGCTCTTTTATTAATCTCTTCCCATATATCCGAAGTTAAAGATATGACACCCCTCATATTTTTGCAAATCCATAATTAATTATTATTTTGTTTCAGTAAAATATTATATTGTATCGGAACGAAGAGTGTTTCGACTTACCTCAACGTACCTTGACTGCAGATATTCTTTCACATACCAGACGTAGTGTTGGTTGTCAATTAATACCAAAGGCAACTCAGCACCAGCAACAAGCTTTACCATTCTGGTTCAAGCTCTCTCCTCCGAATACACCCATGTGGATAGGAGTGCAGCAGAACCACCGGCGTATGGACTGCCAAATTGCAATTGTGTTTGACAACCTGGAATAAGTCCGTGTTTGGCCGCACATACTTTTTAATGGCGGTTGAGATGGTGGTACCAATTCCTCTTTGCCATGCCAATCTTTGTTGGTAGTATTTACAAACTGCTTTGGATTCTAGGACTCCATTGAAGATTTTTTTCGTTGAAATCAACTTAAAATGATCCCAACATTTTGCTTGTTTTTTCCCTTTCGCTTTCCCCTCGCATCAGGAATGTTTAATTCAGCATCTTCTTCCTGATCGTGTTCCGCTTCGGGAATGTCAACATCATCCAAATTAATTGGATAATTTGGATTGTCGCTTACATGATGATGAAGATCCAAATTTGGAATATCTTCAAGTAGGGGTACGTTATTTAGACCTTCAAATTGATTTCGAAATTGACTTTGCGGTGTCATAGGCGATTCGTTTCCTCCCACACCGAACAAGTTTTCGACAAATGTGCGTGAATCCATTTATTTAAGTAATAACTAGTAAAAGAATAATTGTATAAATGTAGTGAGAAATGAAAATTGGATGAAATTTCAATAAATATAGTGAGAACTGAGAAATGAGAATTGGATATTGTATAAATTGTATATAAAAATTGCACAACTATTAACACAACATAAGAGAGTTGAGAGTGAATTGTAGAAAATTTTGTAGCTAAATGTCACTATTTATAAAAGAAGAAAAGGGGAAAAAAATATTAAAGGACTGAAACGGTTACTGAAAAAATTCAGTGATCGTTTAATGGTCATAAATTGAAAAAATAAAATAAAATTTAGGAACCGAAACGTCCCTTTTGTAAACAAGGCTCGTGGCTGGGGAAAACGAGCCGCGAGCGGCTCAGGCTAGGCTCACCCACCGAACCGGCCCGTTCGGCTCGCACTAGGGCTCGTGTTTTTACAGCCCGAGCTGCCCACGAGCTCCGTTTCCGCGAGCCGCTCGGCCCATTTGCCACCCCTAGCTACGTCAACTCCATGTGATAAGAAGATCCTTATAAGATTAAAGAGTCTGGTTCTATAATAATAGATGTGATACACTTAATGTTACTAAGTGTTGGCTGTTAACCTAGCAGAATGAGGATCTTAAGATGGATGTGCGACCATACTAGAATGGGCAAGTTAAAGAATGAAATAAGTGGAGGTAATATGGATTGAAAACCAACTAAGGGAATGACAATTTTAGGTGTTGGAGCGTGTCTTGCCTAGACCTGAAGAAGCTTCTGTTAACGAGTGATTCGATTTTAGCAAAATATGTTAGAATGGTAAGAGGTAGACCAAAATAACATTACGAACAAGCTGAATGGTGTAAAAGGATCCCGTCCCTAAATTATTGGGAGTAAGTTGTAGTTTGCTGTTGCCATTCATAGATGCTCCACTTGGCTAGGGGATATACTTTATTTGGTAAAGCTCTATTCTTGTAATTGGGCTGCTGTGATTACCTACCTAGTGGTAGAATTGGTTCTTTTTTGAGCTGATTGTGCCATATGCCATTTGACAGTTGTAGTTTAATTTGCAATTCTCACTCCCCAAATGTAAGCTGTTCAGGTAGAAACAAATCAACTCGAGGAATGCTGTTCTTCATTAGTTTAGAAGAGAAAACGTGGGTGTTAATTAATTGGAGTATGTGACACTTTGTAGCTTTCCCAAAACATGGATTGATCAAATACACGGATCTAGAAATCTATTACATATTTTTCCTAAATATAGTTCATGTATCTAATTAATACAATACATAAACAACTCATAGGATGTCTAAATACATGAACACAAAAGAAAACACCTTTAAAGCAACAAAGTAAAATTGGTTTATCATCTCAATAATTTCTTCCCTTAACCATTTTGCTTTTGAATCTCAGACTGCAAGGTTCTTCTTCACAACGTGTCATCTTGACTTCGTGAACACAGAAGTCGGTTTTCATGTTTACAATGCATACAAACTTCTCCTTCATTAACAAGTTTTTTCACGATATGAAACTGAATGTGGATATTCCTTGTTTTGAACAGCAATTTCACATTGATAAGATATTTATGTGAAGGCAAATAAGTCAGTTTCCATCTTATGATAATTGGAACATTCAACATGGTGGTGGTTTACTGATGAGAATTTATGTTTTACTTTCACTACCATCCATGATCCCTTTCACTTTGAGAAGTATTAATACTCTGTTTCTCATTCTTTTGTAGTGCTCTGGCTTTTACATTGTCTGTTAACATTTTATCGCCCTCCCCTTCCATTTTGTCCAGTGAAGACTAGAAAACAGTCTTTTGCAAATGTTATTAGAGTACAAAACAGATCCCATAATACTCAAACAAATGAAAACATAATTTGTGTATTGATAACTTGAGCATTCAAATACTGGGTTACAATAGTGTTCCCCCCCCCCCCCCCCGGTTTACCCCGGGCGTCTTTCTATCTGTTGCAATTTGTTCAAATTATAACATAAGGAAAGAATAGTGAAGACATATTCCATGTTGGGAAAGTCTTACTTATAAATATGATAGATGGATAATGTCGAAAGGGATGTAAACAATATAAAACCAGAAACTGGCATTTCTGCTTGGCTTGGCGCAGCTGCAAGATTTTCCCTGCAGCCACACCAAACCAAGCAAAAAGTGAAAACTTTCTGCTTCAATTTTGCACAGCTGCAAAGTTTGTTTTGCAGTCGCTCCAAGTGTCTGTTGGGGAGTTATTTTTGACATTTTCAAGTGAAATGTTCTGTCCTTTCATCAGTGATTATGTTCCTTCGAGCATAGGATGTTTTGACCTCTATAAATAGTTTTTTTAGCTGGAATAATATATAAAAGATATCAATAACATCCAAATCCTTTATACCACCATAATCCTTCATCGAAATCCAAAAGATTCTAGATTTCATAAAAGTTCTATTGATCCTTCTTCCGGATTTCATTTGTCTTTTGCAATCCGGATAAAGGCTTGAAGAATCTGCTAAAGCTATTTGCTTGGAGTTGCCAAAGCATCTCGAATTCTTGGAGAGGGTGCAAATAAATTTTAAGACAGTGTTTGTGTGATTCAAGTCGATTAAGATTATTTCTTCTCGATCATTCTTCTTGCTGCAATTCTTCTTGTTGCATTGGTGTTTGATCAGGTTAGCGGTTTGTTTTTCATTTTCCTAAAATCTTTCTGAAGAAGATCAATACTGTCCTGTTTCTATTCTATTGGGAAATGAAAGTTGAACACAAATGTGACAAGCACGAGTGTCCGGCAGACCAATAATAGTTTCCTGTTATTCAAATGTGGATTTGTGGATATGCTGCTTCTCTTTGACCTTTTGTTTCAAAAAATTTATAGTGCTTCAGCAAAGAAGTGACACTTCTTTATGAAAAGATGTTCAAAATTCCACTTTGACCAATATATTAGCTGTATATCGTCCAAATGTAAAGACAAGACTCTTTAAGCCTGGTGTAGAACTTAGCCTTTCTCAGGAATAGAAGAGTATCTTCAAAATTCTCTCTGATAACTTCTCTTTTGTGTGTCAGTAAGGTTCTCAATAATGGTCATAAATCTCATGTTTCTTGACTCTATTAGCTTGAGTATATGGTTTCATTATTTTTCTTTTCAACATATTATTTCTGGCTGTGTGAAATATTTTTTCTTGATAATAAAATGTTCTTTGTGTGTTTTATTTTTTTATGTGCATATCAAGGCTTGTAAAACTGACTTACCTGGAATTTTTGTTTACTTCAGGATCTATAGTGAAAAATGATACATCAGTGATGACGAATAGAAATGATGATGATGTTGATTTAGGACTTTCTCTGGGTTCTACCAATCACTGTGTTCGAACAACGTTGAACAATAGTTCGGGTGCAGGTGTAAATGCAAACTCAGGAGTGGACATAGCATTTGCTGCATCTGATCCCTTGTCTGAATTAGTTTGGTCCCCACACAAAGGTTTGAGTCTGAAATGTGCGGATCCCGACTTAGCAGAGAAAAATCCATTTGTTACGTGGAATGTGGGACCAATCAATAAGGTTTTTTCACCATCACAAAGCATTAGATCCAGGGAAACTGAAGATGGAAAAGCTATAGATAAGGGAAACTCAACTATATTACAGGCAAAAATAGATATGGATGAAGTTGGCGATGGAACAACTGTGGCAATATCTCCAAGAAACAGTCCTGGCCCTTTGTGCAATGTAAGCCATGGAAACCACGAGGATGGTAAGTTCATTTCTTGGATTCTTGTCTGCATATTATGTGTGTGATGTTATCATCTTACAGTCGTCATTTACTTGGTCTTCCCTTGTTCTGCCAGTAAGCCTGTTTCCTTTTTTTTCTCTGTATTTTTTAATTGATATTCTAAGAAATGCTTATGAACTCATATCTAGCAGAAAGTGGTGATGAAGTCAGAGAAGGGTTCGGTAATCATAATGACGAGCATCTTAGGGACAACGGAGAAAACTTGAGAAGTCCAGAGAATGTCCAAAATCCTGAGATTTTTGAAAGCAGCAAGGACATTCTAGGTACCTGGTTTTAATGCTCAACATTATTTATCAAGGATATTAGTTCAAGAATTAGATGTGAATAATTGTGTCCTGAAACCATTAAATAGTCCTAAACTGAAATTACTTTCTGGTATTCTATTTACTGAGGGACGCAAGTCTATTTGAGCTGTATCTTATTTTCAGTAATTGTCTTCCACTGAGCTCAGATTTGGGCAGTTAGCCTTTACCATTTTATCTCCCAATTGAGTTTCAACTATTATTATGGCCGTCTTTACTTCCTTTACCTAAACTCTTGATTTTAGCTGCTCTTTCCAAAAGACGTGAAAGCAAGTAAATCCACCAAACTTCACCAAAGTAATTTTTGATTGGATGGGGATGAACGAAAAGAAAATACCAAAGCATCCAGTGTTTTGTCATCGAGGAAATGACTTGTTGAATTTCTCTGTTCTATGCAGGACATTGTATTCTAACAAATGAAACCAGTGATTATATAGCTAACATGGAAATAGCATCCAGCAAACTGAATGCTAAAGTTGAAGATGTTGCTGGTAGCAGTCAGATATTTGGATTCAGTGTTGCTATATCCTCTGAATCTCATGCTGCGAAGAATTCTGACGGTCTTCTTAGTCCACTACCAAATTTACAACCTCCAAAGGAACAAGATAATGAAGTAACATCGGCTCCTGGAGAGGAGAATGAAATGAAGATGCACCCTTTGATGAAGTTGGAATCTAGTGATGAAAATGACTCGTACCATCTAACTGCTAAAGGGGCTAGCAGTTCAAGTGACGAGAGATTTCCGAGGGACAAATATCTTCCACTAGAAAGTGCTCCAAAAAATAGTATGATCTTTTTGAATCAGAGCAAAAGCAAAGAAAAGGCATTATGTGATGGAGATGATAATGGAAAACTGTCAAATTGTGAGGAAGGAAGACAGGAGAGTGTAGAAAGTTGTAATAGCGCGGGTTTCTTTCCAAGAGGTAAAAGGCGACGTAACTATGATAAGGATTTTTCTGATGGAAGAAAAAAATTGAAAAACCAAATTCAAGGAAGTTCTGGTTCGACCTCCATGATCAGGCATGGTAACTCTTTCATGAATTGGATTTCAAGTATGGTAAAATGTATACCAAATTCCAGTCAGGGACAGGCCCCACCTCTGGTTCTTCCTCTTGCTCATCTAAATGATATGCACGACGAAATTCACCGGGGAATTTTAATTTCCAAGAAAGAAAATGATTCTCCTAGCCAACCAATGGGGTTCCAAACTATATTTCAGTCCTTATATTGTCCACGTGTAACGGTTCCTGATACAAGTGTATCAAAAGAAAGTCACTGCTTAGAAGAATCTAAAGAGCTTGTGGTGGCTGACAATACATTCCTTGAGAATCCTCCAATAACATGCCATACAGACACTGATAACTCTTGCAAGAAAATTCTTGCATCAAATGCAGAAGTTAATCCATGTCAATCAACAAACTTGGTGGGCCAGTATAGAAAACCCTGGAATTTTACTGCAGTCAATGCTTATGGTCAGGATGCTTGCAAGAGAAATTTAGCAGGAAATAAACCTTCGAGAAGCCTTGCATGCAGTAGAGAAAATGCCGGAATGAGCCCATCTGATTCGCTCCATCAACTGGTGAATAAAACAGCAGATAATACAAAACCAAGTTTTCACTTGGAAGGCAAGGTTATTGGTAATATGTCTAACGAAAGCGGTTCAATTCCTAGTTTGTGGATTACCCGTTTTTCTACCAAAACTCCTAGGTTAGAGAACTGCAATCAGGCTACTGACAGAGACTTCGAGCGTTCCACTGTTTGCACTAGAGTCAGTTCTTTTACTAAGGTAAATGCGGATTTTCCCAATGCCCAGAAAAGCCCTGAGGCCAGGGTTAACTCCCCTGAAGACCAGGTTGACTTTGGGGCGAAAGAGATGCAAAGCTCTGCTACCAATTCTGAGGCGTCCTTGGAATTTAAGTCTATTGGTAAATTTGATCCCATTCTACTTTCCCAGTGTAAAAGCTCAGAGGTGATGGCCTGTGTGTTTGCCCAGAGATTGGATGCACTCAGGCACATTACACCCTCGAATTTTAAATGTTCTTCAACTTTCCCATCAGCAACTTGTTTCATTTGTGGTGGACTTGGCCATGATATGCATGACTGCCCAGACATAACAGAAACTGAGCTTGATGATCTTGTAAGAAACGCCAGTTCATTTTACAGGGTGGAAAAATCTCCTCCTTTATGCCTTAGATGTTTTCAACTGGATCATTGGGCTATTACATGTCCAATGAGATCCACAAGTAGGCACCATCAGTTAGAACTGAATGCTTCTTTTGCCAATCAGGATACTGTGGGTGGTAAACAACTCTGTGCCAGTAAAGAAAAATGTTCTAGTTCTTTGGGTGCTAAGGAAGATCATCCACCAGTTTTTATTAATCAGAGGGCTCGCAGGGACGGGAATCGTTCCTTTCCCAGTAACCTGTTGTGGAATGTAAGGGAGTCTTCAGGCAAAAGAACAAGTTCAAATGAAGGTCAAAATAATAACACTTCAAATTCTGAGAATGATTTGAAGGGAATTCATGATTTACCTTTGCAAGTCTCAGTCAGCATGAAGTATGTAGATACACTGATAGAGATGTTTGATGTTGTAAAGAAGCTTCGCATCTCTCGTGCAGACGTCCTCAGGTAGGCAAATATATTCTGTCCAAACTGTCAATAAATCTTGTGAAATTTTATTTATACTACTTTTTGAGGGGACTAGTCGTATGTAGAACTTATTCAACACAAGCTGTTGTGCCAGTTCAAGATGAGGATGAAATAATGTTCAAACAATATTTTCTGCCTCCAATTGATAACTTTGAAATCTATATAAATCTGTTCCGATAAGGTTTTTCATCAACCAAATGACAAAGTCTATCACAATAGTATTATGTGCCTTTGTTTTTACATCTTGTGAGGCTGAGTACGAGGCTAATGTTATTTAATACTAGTGTTTTCTTCTTATTATATTTTAATCCTTCATTGTCATTTTTTCATAGATTGATAATTCAGCCACTAATTTTACATGATCTCAGATGGAAGAACTCCAATGTCTCTTTGTCACATTTAAATGGTTTTTTCTTGCGTTTGCGAATCGGGAAGTGGGGAACAAGGCTCGGGGGCACTGGCTACTATGTTGCTTGCATAACAGGTACATAAAATGACTGTTTCCAAATATACCAGGTTTGTACGTTTGAATAATGATGTACAGAACCTTTATATGTGCTGTAAAATGGAGAATATTTCTATGTTATTCTTTGCCTATTGCTTTTTCCAATTTCAATTTTTTTTTCTGAAGAATCAACGGGAGCACAAAGAGAAAAATTACGTAAAAGTTCCAAGAATTCTGTCTGTGTAGACATTTCGGGGATACAATGCTTTGTTGGAAGCCAGTATGTCTCAAACCATGAATTTTTTGAGGTACAATTTATCTTTTATTTTGGTACTTATAACATGCTCGTCATGTAATTGTCTTTCCTGCATCTGTTTCCTCACTAGTCATGTATGATTGACTATTAGGAGCATATTTTCTTATAATGATAGAATTTTAATGATATTCTTACCTTTTGATAATTGCAGTTGCAGAAAATATGAGTTTATCATATTTGTAAGTTCAATTTTACATGTGTGATAATTTTACTCGCTATAACTTTACAAGGAAAACCAAAATGACAAATTCTCTTCTTTCTGCAAGTTCATTAAACTGAAGCGACAGGATAATTAATTAACAGCATTTTCATTGCAAATTCATCTTTATATAAATATTTTATCTTTGTGTAAACATATGTAGAATCCAAATATTTGATGTGAGTTTTTTTACTTCAAGGAAATAGAGTTTTAGCTTCACTAGTTATGCTGACTGATCCTGAAGTGACAGGCATTGTCATTGACCATAATCCAACATCAATTATATTCATTCTTTTACATTTTGAGGCCGTAGTTCTGGATTGTTTTTTGTTATGCATAAAATAAGCCCGAACCACAAAAAAGGTTAGAAAATAAGTAGGCATACCCAAATGATACCTATATATGCATGGTAGGAAGCAATAATTCCTATTTGACATGGTCTGCTTACGCCCGACGAAATGTGGTCCAATGTTGGTGGGATTGTGCCTGAAGAATTTAATTTATACTTAATGTTTGTGCAATTAAAATTATTTTTATATCCGGTTTACACATTAAAGGACTCGATGGAAGTTTCCAAGTGTTCTAGCAATATCGTGTTTGAATAGCTATGTTCAGATAAACCTTGTGGTTACTGCAGTTGTCCACTTAATGTGATTCTTATTGTGTTGCGAAGCTTGTACCAAACTCTTCAAAATGGTGTATAGAGTTTGTTGAATTGTAACCCAAAATCCACTGGGAATTAGTGTTTTGACTGCAGAGTCCTTGAAGAAGTTAAAATACGGACTTAAATGTCTTGGATAGAGATGGGGCATCCAAGCACCGCATCTGGGCGGCTGAGCGCTATTTGGAGGTTTTTGTCCCGAGACGTAGCGCCCAAGCGCTATGAACACAATGCTCAAGCGCTACTTTAGCGACTTGCTAGCCGTGAGCTAGGGCGCTCGAGCAGTAGTGTTATCCACCAAAAATAGTTTTGCGATTCTGATGAATTTTTTGATTCTGGTTTCATCTAAAACACTAGTATCGAGGCCCCATGTATACTCCACGTCGTATAGTCTCTTCATGACATTATAATTACATTAGATTTGGTTGAGAGTGCATCAAACGTCAAATCTTGTAACAACAATCATCAATCCTGATTTTGATCTAGTGATTTCTCCTCTTCTACTCGTTTTTCCTATCTTAGGTTTCCACATAAAATTTTGGTATTATTATTTGTAATTGATTTATTTCATCTTGCAATTATCTTGCTTCATTTACAACAAACTAGTATCAGAGTGAGGTTGATTTTCAAATGGCAACGATGAAATATAATATTTTGCTATTTGATCGAAATACGAGATTTACTATGGCAGGTTTGATAAAAATGGCTTTTACTAGGACGCAAGAAGAAAAGTAGTGTAGGATTCAGAAAGCCTTGTCTTAAATTCATTTCCACCTATCAAATAATATTCTTCAGGATGTTTTTAAGGAGAAAAGTGCCATTGCGTTGTGGTTGAAACTGGAGCAATTTTGGATGACAAAGAATTTGACTAGTTAGTTACACTTGAAATAACACTTGTATTCTCATTGTATGTCCAATGGTACGTCTATTGAGGATCACTTAGCAATTTTTAAAGAAGTTGTAGCTGATCTTTAGACTGTGGAAGTTAAATATGATGAGGATCTTGTGTTGATATTGTTGTGTTCATTGCTATCTTCATGTATGACTTTTAGAGACTATTCTCGATAGTCGTAATACTATCACGATTGATGAGGTCTATGATGCTTTACTATCAAAGGAGAAGATGAAGCATCTTGTGGTTGGATCCGAGGGCTAGGCATAGGATTTGGTTATTCGTGAGAGGAATCAAGATAGGATTCTTGGTACTAATATGAAGGATAGATCGAAGTCTGAATATAGAGCGAAGATATGCATCTTTTGCAAAAAGAAAGGACATATTAGAGCTGACTGCTACTAATTAATGAACTTGAGAATAGCTGCTACTATAGAAAAGAGAAAGCAATCTAAGGATACAGGAGAAGCCAGTGTTGGAGAGCTATTGGTTATTTCTAATGGTGATTCCGATCTTTGTGTGGATTGAGTTCTTGATTCGGCTTATACATTTCATATATGTCCCCCAATAGGGCTATTTTGTAACGCATGAGGTGATTTCGAGATATGTGATTATGAGAAATAACTCGTCTTATAAAATAGTTGAAATTGGATTAGTCAAAATTAAAATGTTTAATAGGGCTATCAAAACAGTCACAGATGTGAGGCATGTTCTAGACTTGAAGAGAAATCTCATATCCTTGAGTACCTTTGATGCTAAGGGGTACAGGTACACTAGTGAAGGTGGTGTTCTGAAAGTCAGTATATGTGCTTTTGTTGTAATGAAAGGAAAAAGAAGCTCAACCCGATTATATATATTGCAGGGATCTACAATTATAGGGATGCACCCGTCAGCGCTTCTTCCTTATGAGATGAAGAAATTACTAAATTGTAGCATATGCGGTTAGGGAATATGAGTGATAATGGGATGGTTGAATTCAGCAGAAGAGGACTTCTTGATGGTATTAAGTAATAGCAAGTTAAAGTTTTTGTGTTTTTGGAAAATAGAAGGTCAATTTTATAAAAGAAGTCACAATTCGAAAGGAAACAGTTGATTATATCCATTCAATTCTCTAAGATCCGCAAAGGTGCCTTTCGAGAGAAAGTGTATATTATTCATTGACAATAATTTATTATTTCTCTAGAGAACTTTGGATTTTCTTCTTGAAACAAAAGAGTGATGTGTTTGCTACCTTCACGGAATGGAAGACAATGATTAAGAAGTAGACTTCAAAGTAAGTAAAACATCTCTGCATGGATAATGGCTTGGAGTTTTGTTTGAATGAATTTAATCATTTCTGTAAGGCAAAAGGGATTCTAAAGCACTTGACAATATGCCATACTCCGTAGCAGAATGGTATGACAGAAAGGATAAATAGAACTTTGATGAAAAAGGTTCAGTGTATGCTTTCAAATTCTGGCTACCTACAACATTTTGGGCTGAAGTTGCTTTTACAGCTTATTTCATTATCAATCATTCACTCTCATTTGCTATTGAGAGAAAATCTCCAAAAGAGGTATGGTATGGTAACCCTCCTAATTACTCAAGAGTTACAAATCTTTAGGTGCCCTGCTTATGCTCGTGTTGATAACGGAAAGTTGGAATCAAAGTCTAGAAAATGTGTCATTCTTGGTTATAAATATGGAGTTGAATAAGCTTTGGTGTACAAAAACTAGTAAGGTGGTGATTAGTAAAGATGTGGTGTTTGATGAATATCCTATGATTCAAAATTTACCTCGAAAGGATCCTAGTGTTACAATTCAGAAGAAAAAAACACTCAGGTGGAGTTAGTAATCGGTTCAGGATCTAAACCAGAGTCTTCAGCTCAGTTTAGTTCCGAAGTGAACGAGAGTGTAGCTTTGTCGCTACCGCCGCCGCCAAGGGTACAACAGTATTCTATTGCTAAAGATAAACCTAGAAAGGTGATTAGACCTCCACAAAAGTATCAAGAAGTTGACTTGATAGCATATGCATTGAATGAGGCTAAAAATTTTTGTTCCAATGAAAAGCCTGCTCTATACACAGAAGCAATAAGTTGCAATGATTCTGGTAGATGGATGATTGCTATGCAAGAAGAAATGGAATCACTTCATAAAATTAGCACATGGGACTTTTCGTTGTAAGTGTGTGTTCGAAAGAAGGGAAGGTATATAAGGAGTTGAAATGCTAGGTACAAAGCAAGATTAGTGGCTTTAGTCAGATTCTAGGTGTAGACTTAACGTTTGTGTTTTCTCTAGTTGTGAAGCTGAGCTCAATTACAACTTTGTTTGGTATTATGGCTAAGCATGATTTGGAGCTTAAGCAGACGGATGTTAAAACAACATTCTTGCCTGAAGAACTTGAGGAGGACATTTATATGCAACAGTCAAAGGGTTTCGCAGTTTCTAGAAAGGAGGACTGTGTGCAAGTTGAAGAAGTCCCTTTATGGCCTGAAGCAATTACCGAGACAATGGTATAAAAAATTTGACTTGTTTATGACTTTAAAAGAAGCAGTTATGATAGTTGTGTGTACTTTAAGAAGTGTGATGGTGGGTCATTTACATATCTACTACTTTATGTTGATGATATATTGATAGATGCCAATCATAAAGAAGATAATGAAAGTGAAAGTTTAGCTCAATGAAGAGTTTGATATGAAGGATTTAGGAGCAGCATAGAAAATTCTTGGAATGGAGATTTTAGAAAATACGAAGGTTGGCAGATTATACTTGAGTCAGAAAACGATACATAGAAAAAGTGTTCCATAGGTTTAATATGCTGAGTGCAAAGGCTGTCAATACTCCTTCGGCTGCCCTCTTTAAACGACCATCTGCTTTGTGTCCAAATCTGATGAAGATATTGATTACATGTCAAAGGGTTCATTATTCAAGTGTAGTTGGATTGCTCATGCATGCTATGGTTTTTGTACACGCTCAGATTTAGCACGTACATTAGTGTAATTAGTAGATACATGACAAATCCTGACGAGGAATATTGGAAAGCAGTGTAGTAGATATTCAGATGCTTGGCTCTACTAATGCTTGTTCGCATTTTGGGAGAAATATAGATGAATTCATTAGGTATGTTGATTCAAATTATGTAGGAGATCTTAATAAAAGGAGATAACTTACGGGGTATATGTTTACCATTGCAGGTTGTGCTATCAGTTGGAAGGCTATATTACAGAATACAATAGCATTATCTACTACTAAGACAGAGTACATAACTATTATAGAGGCTTGTAAAGAAGATATGTGGTTGAGGGGATTGGTAAAATCAGTGAAGACTTACAGATATCTACAGTCTATTAGGATAAAGTACTATTTTTCTAACAAATGATCAAATGTTTCATGATAGGACAAAGTACATTGATATGATGTATCATTTTGTATGATGTGATTGCTCATGGTGATATTGTTGTGAATAATGTTGATACCAAGGAGAATTCCATTGATATGTTGACAAAGGCATTCCCTATTGTCAAGTTTGAGCAGTGCATGGACTTGGATGGTATTTGTTGCTGAATTAGCCCTCGAGGGTTAGTGGAAGAGGTGGAGAATTGCTTATTGAAGAGTGAAGAGTAATTCTTTGCTCTAGAATTTGTGTCAAGTTGGAGATTTGTTGAATTGTGACCTAAATTCCATTGGGAATTAGTGTTTTGGTTAAAGAGTCCTTGAAGAAGTCAAAATATGGATTTGACTAGTTTTGGACATGAACAGGATGCCTAAGCACTGCATTCGGGGCTCCTAGGTGCCATTCGGAGTGATTTGGAGGTTTTTGTCCCAAGATGCAGCACTCAAGCGCTTCCCTGGCCGCTCACTAGCCCCGAGCTAGGGTGCTCGAGCAGCAGTGTTATACGCCCAAATTTTTTTCGTTGATTTTAATGAATTTCTTGATTCCTATATTGTCTAAAACACTAGAATTGAGGTCCTATATATACTCCACATCTTATAGTCTCTTCTTAACTCTAGAAAATACGTTAGATTTGGTCGAGAATGCATCATGTCTTGTGTAACACCAATCATTGATCTTGATTTTGATCTAGTGAGTTCTCCTCTTATGCTCGTCGTTTTTTCCCATATTGTGTTTTCACATAAAGTTTTTGGTGGTTTTATTTGTGAATTGGTTTATTTTATCTTGTAATTATCTTGCTTCATTCACATCAGAGCTCCATTTTATGACCTGTGCATGTGCCTTGAAGTATGACCCAGAAACTAACAGCGTGCAGATTTTTTAGTATTTAAATATTGGTTAGTGTGGGTAGCTGGACAAATAAAATCAGAAGATTTTGTTATTACTCTTTCTTGACCCCTTACGAGAAACCATTAAAGATATAGTTGGTGTTGATGTTGATGTAATATCATGGCCATAGCAAAGTTTTTAAGGATCTGTTTGGCACTAATTTTGAAAAGTCGGAAGCGGCTTTTGAGACTAAAAAGCTGCTTTTACATCTGTTTGGATAATTTTCTAAATCTTCTTTGGTCTAATTAGAATTGCTTTTAAATGTAGTTGGTTAAAGGTGACTTTTTTCAAGAAAGTCTTTTTCAAAAAGGAAAAGCAAAAGCAAAAGCTATCCTAAATCTTCTTGAATATTGGGTTGCTGTTACTCGTTCTAGTGCTCGATTTAATTGCTGATGCTGGTTGTTTGCAGGAAGAAATTAGAGCTTGGTGGTGCAGAATTGTGGAAAGTGGTGGAAAGATTCCATCCTTGGACGAGTTAAAATCAAAATTTGAAGAGAGAATGAATTTAGGTGTTTAGTAGATATTGCATCAGATTAGGATTCAGGGGCACTTGTGCAAGTGTAAGTGAAATTTTGAAATTGATTTGTACATTAATACTATGTCCATGGAACAGATAGATTTGGAGATTGTTTCAAAACATGACAAGTCTTGTTTCCGTATGGCAGGTTGGGTTGGGTACCAAGCAGATCCGATGGGAGTAAAATCTGGATAATAAAGCTCAGTTTCCACTTGCTTGTTTCATGTGCGTCTGTACAGTACCTGAAATTCTCTCTTTACTATTGGATTTTTAAGCTTTGATGGGCTCCCAAGTGATTCAACTTGGCACTGCTTATTTAAAATTTTTACTTATGGGTGACTTCTTATTTGAGGCAATTATGGTTGACCTCATTCTCTTGGGTTTTATAAATTACGTAGAGTCCTCAAGGTTTTTTTTTTTTTTTTTTTTAAGACAAATTGTTTCATTGGTTTTTTAGGAGAATTTTTTTAAATATAACAATTACTTGTAGACTATATTTTATTATGTGAATGTATGATTGAAAATGAGTGTGTAAAAAAAGTGTTTTTACATAATGATTGTCACACAGGAGCTATAAAAGTCACTAGTACTATTCTAGTTAAAAATAAAAATAAAATTCGCCAGTACTATTCTAGTTAAACAGTTATTCGAAGGTATGGAAATGGGAAAGCAAATGTGATATGGATACTACACGTAAAAACTTTGAATTTTGTTTGTTACTTCACAATTTTAAATATTTTTTTATTTCTTTACATAGCTTTAAGAAAAATTACAAAAATTTGTAAAACTAGAGTTTATTAGGGTTTAGAGTGAATGATAATTATATCCATACAGCCTTAGAAATAATTACCTTTGTATTCTTGATTATACCCTATAAATACAGGACAATTATACTCTTGCAGTCCTAAAAATAATTACTGTTGTATCCCTAATTCTACCCTATAAATACGGGACTTTGATCTTTAATAAAATACACTCAAGTCTATTGATTTTACTCTGTTTTTTACTCTTCTTCACTTTTCACAACACGTTATCAGTATGATAGCTTATTTTTCAAAGTCTAGTGAACGCAGTAATTTTGTTAAGCAGAATTTTTTTTCTATCCCATGTATCAAAATTAATTTGATAACGTGATTTTTTTTTTTCTGTAATTGATTTTGTAATTGGTAAAAATCGTGTCTAGTTATTCATGTATCGATGTCGCTATTTAGCCTTTATCTCTGTGCAAAGTTTTGGGTTGCTATTAATATTTTTGCACTGAGTAATCGATTCGTCTTTTGACGTTCTGATATTTGAATTTTTGGGTTGCAAATATTTATTGGGCTTTGTTTGATTTTTTAAGCCCATAATTGATGAAACTCTAGACCTGTCTTCTCCCTCTCTCTCTAGTTTTTGTGTTTGACTTTTGTTACAGTAAGCCCTTTGTTCTTTGTACCAGTCATTAATGACGTGCATCTAAAAATATTTTTTTAATTCTACATTTAAATAATTTTAGATGTTCAATTATAAATTATAAATTCATATTCTATCATTTTATTATTTTTGAAGTAGCACAACTTCATAGTTAATATTCTAGAAGAATATTAATTGTAAATCTGTCTATTATATATGATTTGTTGTTACTCCTGAAGTAGCACGACATCATAATTAATATTCTTGAAGAATATTACATGCTCATGAAGAGTATACATTATAATTTTCAATATTTTCAAAAGAATATTGACATATTGCTCTTGAAGAAGCTATATAGTAAAATACAATTTGCTTCCGAAGTAGCACATTTTTCGAAAAATATATTATTTTAAATTAGTGTTTATTCTTGAAGGAAAACACGTGACTAAAGTCTTGTTGACTACTTGATTAATTATTATGTAATGTTTAAATATATTCTTCAAAACTAATTGTATTTTCTTTGCTTTATTATGTAGTTAATCAAATGGTAAACATCGCAAATCTTGAGTTTGTTGCACTTGACATCTCTAGCAAAAACTATCTATTATGGGTACTTGACGCTGATATCCATCTTGTCTCAAAAGATTTGAAAGAGACAATGAAAGAAAGAAACAAAGAATTCATGCAGGATTGTGCAAAAGCACTCATCTTCCTTCATCATCATCCGCACAACGGACTGAAAATTGAATATCTCACTGAGAAAGATCCACGGGTTCTTTAAAAAAAATTAACTGAAAGATTTGATCATCAAAAGACTATAGTCCTTCCCAAAGCCCGCGATGAGTGGATGCACCTTCATTTGCAAGACTTCAAAACTGTTAGTGAGTACAATTCTGAATTGTTAATAATATGTTCAAAATTAACATTGTGTGGAAAAAAATCACTGATGAAGATATGTTAGAGAAAACCTTTTCCATCTTTCACGCCTCGAATGTGCTCCTACAGCAGCAATATCGCGAGCGCGGTTTCAAAAAGTACTCAAAACTTATATCTTGCATACTTGTTGCTGAACAGAATAATGAACTGTTGATGAAAAATCATGGGTTACGTCCATCTGGTTCTGTACCACTGCTTGAAGTAAATGGTATTATATTGCCTGAAGCAAATGCAATATCAAGATATGGACGTGGATGTGGATTCGGACGTGCATGCAGAGTAAACCATGGACGAAATAATCAACAAAGTTATCAACAATAAGACAACAATTTCAAAAGGCACAAAGTAAACGAAAGTAGCACACCTAAAAAGGTACATGAAGAAAGTTGCTCTAGATGTAGAATGAAAGGGTATTGGACACGTACCTGTCATACGATAAAACATATTGTGGATCTTTATTAAAAATCAATCAAGGAAAAGGAAAAAGTGGAGACAAGTTTTACTGACTATGGTGGTCTAATTGATGTGACTTATTTGGATGTCTTCAATTTTTTTGTTGATCCAAATGGAAATATTGACCATTTGATTGGGGGTGGTGTGATGGAAGATATAAATTAATTTTTTTTTTATGTTTCTAGTAATTCCATTTATTTTAGAAATTTAGTTTGAACTATATTTTTACTTTTCGCAAAAATTTTGAAATTTATTATACAACGTTAATTTCACAGTATTCATTATATTATCATTTTAAATTTAAATTCAAGTTTTTTTTAAATATACCTAGTTTGTTATATTAATAGATTCATGATGGATTGTCAAGACATCTGCTTGATTGATAATACAACTATACATACTATTCTTCAAGACAAAAAATATTTTTCGGACTTAATATTAGAAGAAAATAATGTCAATAAAATATCAGGTGCATCGAATATCGTTGAAAGCTCCGGAAGAGCTTGTATTATTTTTCCAAATAATACAAAATTATATATTGACGATGCACTTTATTCTAGCAATTAAATTCAGAAGAAATTTGCTTAGTTTTAAAGATATTTACAGGAATGGATATCATATTGAGACGACGCAAGAAAATAATCTCGAATATCTTTGCATAACTTCTTTTATATCTGGTCAGAAGCAGGTAAAAGAAAATTTTAATGCACTCCCATCTGACATGTATTATACATTTATAAAAATGGTTGAATCGAATAATGTCACGAACCAGAAGTTTATTGACCCAAAAAGTTTTATACTTTGACATGATCGATTTGGACATCCAAGAACTATAATGATGCGTCGAATAATAAACAATTCACATGAACACCCTTTGAAGAACTAAAAGATTCTTTTACCTAATAATTATTCAGGTGTAGTTTGTTCGCAAAGCAAGTTAGTCATTAGACCTTCAACTACAAAGGTCAATATTGAATCTCTAACTCTCTTGGAAAGAATTCATGAAGATATATGTTGGTCAATACACCCACTATGTGAACCATTTCGTTATTTTATGATATTAATTTATTCTTCTACTAGATGGTCATATGTTTGTCTACTTTCTACTAGGAATGTAGCATTTGCCAGACTACTTAACTCAAATTATTAAATTACGAGCGCAATTTTTTTCATTACTCAATTAAAACTATTCGCCTTGACAATGCTAGTGAATTTAAATCACAGGCATTTGATGATTATTGTATGTCAATCGGGATTGTAATTGAACATTCAGTTGTGCATGTCTATACACAAAATGGTTGGCGGAATCATTTATCAAACGTCTACAACTTATTACTAGACCATCACTTATAAAAACAATACTCCCAACTTTTGTTTGGGGTCATGCCATATTACATCCTGCATCATTGGTTTGTATTAAACCAACTGTCTATTATTAATATTCACCTTTGCAACTAGCATTTGGTCATGAACCTGATACTTCTCACCTACGGGTTTTTAGGTGTGCAGTCCAATTCCTCATTTCACCCCCACAACGTACTAAAATGGATTCCCAACGAAAACTTGAAATTTATGTGGGTTTTAATTCACAATCAATTATTAGGTATCTTGAATTTTTAATAGTGATTTATTTACTGCATGTTTTGCTTATTATCATTTTGCTGAAATGACTTTTCCAACTTTGGGAGGAGAAAAACTAAATCTTGAAAAATAAGGTAAAATTTCTTGGAATGAAACAACTCTATCTCATTTTGATCCCCACAGCAATCAATGTGAGCAAGAGGTTGAAAAAATCATTCATTTGCAAAGTTGCAAATCAATTACTTGATGTATTTGTTGACATAAGAAAAGTGACAAAGTCATATATTCCAGTAGAAAATGTTCCAGCAAAAATTGATGTTCCTGTAGGACAATCTGCTGCAGTAAATGAATCTCAAATACGCCAGAAGCATGGTTGACCGTTTGGTTCAAAAGACTCTGTTCCTTGAAAAAGAAAAGTAAATGAGAAAAATCAACTAAAATCTTCAAAAAAAGTCACATTAGAAAACATTGATCAATCAAATATTGAAAACAC